TCAGAGTTTTTTCATCTGAGGTCATTTAGTGTCTCATTTGAGCAAGTTTGACCAAGTCAAATTTGGTCAAATGAAAAAACAACACTTTGACTCTAGTATTATGAACTCTAAATGACTTCAAATTGAAAAGTTTTGAATACCAAGTTTGTTCAACTCATCAAGATCTACAATTGTTGTTTTAGTCAACTTTCCATTTGAGATAGTTTGGATGGTTCAAATTTGTGATTTTTAAATTTTGAATAAATATCCGGATAATATCCGTTTTTAAATATCCGGATATATCCGATACTTATCCGGATTATCCGATATCCGCTGGATATCGATGATATTGCATCCGTATTTGATATCCGCCTAAGATATCCGTTTTAGTATCCGTATCCGAAAAAAAACGGATATCCGAGTAACTATCCAGATAAATGTTCATATTTGTTCGGTCGAACGGACGGTCGAATAAATATCCGTACCGTTTTCATCCATATATACAAGTGTTATTTCCCATTAGAATGGGACTTCAACTCCAACCCCTGGTTCAGGTGCCAGTGTCACCTTGAAATCTTGAATGGGTCTGACATGCAAAAAAAAAAGTAGTGAGGAAAAGATAGGCACTGCTTACATCCACACAACTAAAGTTTAGCAAGCTAAAATTAAAGCTAAATTTTAGCCAGCTAAAAGTTTTCCTAGCTAAACTTTAGATGGGTGTTTGGATCTAGCTGGGTTAAAACAGTTAAACTCAGCTAAACTTTAGCTGGGTCGTTTGGATCCATAGCAGCTAAATTTAGCCAACTAAAATTTAGTTGGTGATCTAAACACTAGTAAAAATAACAACACCAAAAAGGACTATGAAGAGATCTTAATTTAACTTGCTTCACGAAAACAATTTGCCCCGGGTCCACCACATTTTGACTTCTGAGGCGATCTGCAGCTTGCAATTTGCAAATGTTGACAGGCATGACGGCCGGTTTTGGTTTTAGCAATCACTAACAAAAGGAACTAATGATTTTAGTTTAGTTTGGCGCATATCGTGTTAGCTATTGTTGGTGCTATATTTAGAGTTATATGAATCTTAATTGTTTTAAATAAACAATGAGCATGACTACTAGTGATAAAGGAATAGGAACATATGTAAATCAATTCCAAATACCTATATATAGATCATAAATAGGTACATGATATTTTTAGAAAACAATTGTTACTGGTTTCTTAATTTTCTGAATTAAATAAATTATTTATAAATTTTTAGAAGTAAACTATTTTTATTTTTTTATAAAATAGAAAAACACCTTTTAAACCAGTAAGGGAACCAAATCTATCTAGTTTTGACAGTTGGAGCATAATTTAAGGTTGAAAACCGAACTACCATGAATGTTGGAGTTTAAAAAATGTAGTGTACCCTAAAATAATTAATCATCACAAGTACGTGTACCGCGCCGTCGCCTACAACCACTCGGTGGTGCCCAGCCAAGTCGCGTCATTAGCCACAGCCCACAGGGTGGAGGAGGCCCGGGGGCACGAGGCACTGTGTTGCTGCCAAGTCGAACGCTCGAAGCTAAGCCCCGAATGGCTCAATTGGCTGCTGAATGAAAATGACAAGCACTAGCACGACACCATTGTTGAGTTGCTGACGATCGACAGTGTATCATTCATCCGCGTGAACCAATGCAAGAGTCCAAGACGACCTCGATCAGGAGCTCGAACGCCGTGCGTGTCGAGCGGCGCGCGGACGGTCAGGCAATCCGCCGCGGTGGCGTCGCATTCTGTCCACTACCGCAGCGGCTCCAGCCTGCCAACGCCACAAGCTCGCGCCACCCATGCAAACCCACTCACCGCACCGCGCTGTCGTGTCGTCTGCCCGAGCGCTATAAATACTGGCTCGCAACCTTGCCATCTGCTCATCCATCGCCAAGATTTGCTTGAGCACGCAGCAGGTGGACGCAAGAGAAGCTCGCCAGTGGCGGCCACCGAGAAGAAAAAGTTCGATCTCACCAGCTCCCGCTCGCACGGAACGATGGCTTACGCGAAGAAGACCATCGCCGCCGTCCTCAGCGTCGCGGTGATCGCGTCGTTCCTTCTCGCCGCTGAGAGCCGCCACATTGCCCGGAAAGACCTCGGCGTCGGCCTTGGCGGCGGCACGGGTGGCGGTGTGGGGGTTGGTACCGGCGGCGGAGTTGGCGTTGGCACGGGTGGCGGGCTGGGTGTCGGTTCAGGGATCGGCGTCGGCGCTGGCGGCTCTGGTTCAGGCTCTGCGTCCGGCTCCGGCTCCGGCTCTGGGTCGGGATCAGGGGCCGGGTCAAGCTCGGGCTCGGACTCAAGGCCTGGCGCCCCAGGCTCATCGGCTGGGTCTAGCGCAGGCTCCTATGCTGAGTCAGGGTCCGGGTCGCCCGGCGGCGCAGGATCCTACGCGGGCTCGAGAGCTGGCTCGTACGCAGGCTCTAACGCCGGAGGAGCAGGCTCGTATGCGGGCTCTGACGCCGGCTCGTATGCAGGGTCCGGCGCTGGCCCGCACGGCGGCGGCGGCTCGGGTGCAGGTTCGTATGCGGGGTCCCAGGCCGGCTCCTACGCTGGCAGTGGACATGGCAAGTGAACGCGAGCTTACTAGCAGTTGCAGCGCAGCAAGACAGTCCTACTCCTACCACTATGGTGTTGACAAGTCAGCTTTGCTACTGTATGTCATGTGTGTATTATTCATTCCTGGCACTTGCAACCGTTGTACGAGAGTAACCATAAATGAGTTGTAGATGTGTACGAAACTATGAGTTGAGTAAGGTGCCAGAGCATGCCCATGTATCTCTGTGTAACATATATATTTATGAAAATGAATAATTCAGCATATATTTCCACGAGGTGCTATATTTCCACGAGGTGCTAAACTGAACGAGCGCCCCCCCCCCCTGCTTATAAGACTTCATTAAGAGAACAGAGTTGTGAGTTGTGGCATGCATGCATGCATGAGTAGATAATGAAGAGGACGAAGAACAGAGGACCATCTGCTATTAATTAACTGATAAAAAGAGCACTGATACTATCCTGGGTTACAAACTGGGATAAGAATAGCCTATAAAATTAAGGAAAATATCAAAAATTAGCAATTAGCCCTCATCTCGGATGAATCATGAATATGAACCACATAAAACATCAAATACGGCCTTTTTTCAACATACATTTTACCTGCGTAGGAGCCACTGTGTATTAATTAGCAGAAAACACCGCGATGGAAAGGACAACGATTTTAATGTTTACATGAACTTGATATACTAATTCCCAATCTTGTTCATTTATATATTTTTACTCCATCCTTTTGTTTTCTTACGGTACACATACTGATTTGATAAAGTACAATTCATTACTAGTTTTCACTAGCAATCAGTGGAATTTTGTCGATCCCCTTTTAATAGAATATTTTTTGTAGAAACTAATAATGAATTATAAGATAAAACCAATAGTCAAGTATACTTTTGAAATCGTTTTTCAAATCTTAATATGCTCTGAAAAAAGGAAGTGGAAATATGACATTAATTAGTGAACGTGAACCTCCTTTTTATTCTTTCGGTTGTTGCCTTGTTGGTACACAAGTTCGAGTTGGTTGTCTGCATCTTTGGAATGTGCGCTTCAGTTTATTGACAAATAAATAGCCCTGATTCGTCCACTTGTATCTGTATTTTGATTGGAAATGAGCGAGTCCCGTCCACGGTGTATTTTTTATTTTAGATTTTTTCATATGTAATTTCAGGATGTACTGTGCCGAGTTTTAATATAATTGCCCTTCCCTTCGCAAGAAAAAAAAAGTTCATGTAAACTTTAATGTAGGAGTAAAGAAAGTCGGAACATTTAGAGAGTAAAAAATGAAAGAATTTAGCAAAAACCATCTAAAAATAGAGAAGATATGTTAAAATGTTACATATTGTAGAAAACATATGGTAATTGCCTTTGTGAGAACATGGTTGGATTAAAAATAGGACATGCATGAAAGAAAATGGTAGACTTCTCATCAACAATATAAAAGATGACCATAAAAAAATAAACATGAAAAAAATCAATTAATCGTGCACGTGGGAATATCCTTGAACACAGCATCAGAAAATGGAGGTGCATGTCCCAAAGATCTTTTTTACACCATATGATTGAAGAAGAAAAAATAAATTCCTGGTTCGGCGCCATCACCAAACAAGCTGGAGTCCAGCCAAGCCGCATGTTAATTTCTTCAGTTCTATCCATATGGAAAGGTCAAATGCGCACTGCTGCTGCCAGCTCCAATCCAGGTTGACTCATGAAAATGACGAGCACTAGCACGAGACCATTGCTGCCAGCAGTCTTTCAATCAATCATGCACACACCCAACTAACAGCCTGTTCGGTTGGCTGATGGATCTCATAAACGATCGTAAATTTTTAGTTGGAATAGTATTTTTCTCTCACACCAAACCAGCCAGCAGTACTTCTTCACGATCCAGTAACGAATAAGCCCTGCCAAACGAACATGCTGTAAGCCAGACATCCTGATCATGCAGACCCTGCACGGACATATGTTGGTACGAGTTTGGTTGGATTTCTCGAAGCTTCCCATGACTCCAATCTCCAGAGTGGATGGATTAATTATTGGCACCAAGAGACCTTATCGGAGCTCCCGCATTGCACGTGTCGTCGAGCGGCGCGCGAGAGGCCAGCCAATCTGCGCGGTCGCATTGCACCACTAGCATCAGCGGCTGAGACTGAGAGAGAGGCCTCGCCGCCTCGGCCGGCCAGCGCCACAAGCTCGCGCCACGCCGCCACCATTCCAAAACCCACTACCCGGCCGCACCACCACCACCGCGCTGTCGTGTCGCGCCCCTGCGTCCCTATAAATACCGGCCCGCAACCAACGCCATCTCCGCATCGATCGTTCCATCGCCCAGAGTTGCATCCACGACTGCACCCCCAGAGCGCGTACTTGACTCGTCTCCTCCGTCGTCCTCATCAGTGCAATTCGATCTTGCTTGCAGCGTGCAGTGCGAGCACGAAACAACAATGGCATACGCGAAGAATAAAGCGGCGGTCGTCGTCCTCGGCGCCGCGGTGGTGGCCGCGTTCTTTCTCGCTGCTGCTGAGAGCCGCCACCTGGGCGTCAGCCTCGGCGGCGGCGGCGGCGGCGGCGGCGGTGGCCTAGGGGTCGACGTTGGCGGCGGCCTGGGTATCGGCACAGGGATCGGCATCGGCATTGGTGGCGGCGGCGGCTCTGGCTCCGGGTCAGGATCTGGGTCTTACTCCGGCTCCGGCTCAGGGTCGGGCTCGGGCTCAGGGGTCCTGGTCCGGCTCAAACTCGGGCTCGAACGCGGGATCCGGCGGCGCAGGAGCAGGATCGTACGCTGGCTCCAGCGCCGGCTCGTACGCGGGCTCGAATGGCGGAGGCTCGGGTTCCTACGCGGGCTCCAACGCCGGCTCCTACGCTGGCTCGAACGGCGGAGGGGCGGGCTCCAACGCCGGCTCGTACGCTGGCTCTAACGGCGGAGGCTCGGGCTCGTACGCGGGCTCCGATGCCGGCTCGTACGCGGGGTCCGGCGCTGGCCCTCACTGGGGAGGCTCTGGTGCTGGCTCATACGCTGGCTCCGAGGCTGGCTCGTACGCTGGGTCTGGCGCTGGCTCGTACGCTGGGTCTCGAGCCGGCTCCTACGCTGGCAGTGGGCACGGCAAGTGAGCCGTGAAGCGACCTTGGATTGGAGGACGCGGTGCTGATGCTTGGTCTTCTGTAGTTGTGTGTTTGCGCTAGCGTTTACCACTATTTGTGTCCGTGAGTAATCCATCATGTGTGTATGCGTGTACTGTACTAAAATAAATTGTGAGGCGAAGGAGGATGAATAAGGTGCTTGGTACAGTGTATAAAATACCTATTGATGTAATAAACATTTATATTGATGCATAATTCGGCATGTACACTAATGTTTATGTAATTTTCACATGGGATGTGTTCATTATACTGTGTTCTAGCTTTTAAGAGGTGGTAGAGTTGTGAATTGAAAATGAGGTATGTCATTCTTTAATTTTGTATAAGAACGATACCTGCTTTGTTCGTGGTTCAGAGAAATGTTGATTGGGACATGCAGACTGCAGGACTGCACCGGAAGTATCAGATGTGCTTCGGCTTGGCAGAAGTCCAATCAGACATAAAATCAAGGTCTACTTTCCGAATCTTGATTGCAGAATCTCCATGAATTTACACGAGTATGCAGCAAACAACACAGAAAACTGTTCACCGGCCTGACAGTACGAATATAGATTATTATCAGCAGTGGTAAAATTTAGATATATAAGTATGGAAATGGAACCCTCGATAAATACTAACATGAAAGTTCCATTATTTTACAATAAAGACTCAGTCAACATGTATTTTGCATTTTACTCTTCTATGCTTTCCGCCTGCTCATTTCAGCAGTATCGGAGGGGAAATACAAAGACAACTGCCAACCATACATGTAAATGCAATAGTGGGTATCAGAAGTGAACCAATACAATATGAATCCATTGATCTTGTTGAATCTGGTAACTATATCCTCAATGGCTACCATTCAACGAAGGACACCACAGAAGAACAGACTAAATTAAGCAAAGATGGTGTCTGCGTGCTATTTTTGTTCCATGACTACATTCAACAAGGAAACAAACATAATACAGAAGAAAAAGAAGAAAAAAACAAGCCATAACTGCATCTTGCTCTGAGTAACTTCAGATGGATCATTTGGTAGCAACACCAGCTTGTTGAGATTTGCTATCATGTTCACTGGACGCTGTTGCAGCTGGTGGAACATACACCTTAGCTCTACGAAGAATTTCAGCAACCACCCAGTGCTTATGTCTGCTCAAGGGCCTAGAAGGATCCAGCCTAACCTGAAAGAATATTATCCAGCCATCATAAAAGGGTTCTTTGAGAGGAAAACTAATTCATTGTGAATGGACTTCAACAGAACCATAGTACAAAGGAACGCTAGCCCCCAATAAGCAGATAAAGAGACTAGGAGTCTTAGATGCAATGCAAATAGTTAATCTCATTGACATATTGGCCCCATTCGCTGGTCTGAAATTTGGCTGAAACTGGCTGAAAAACACTGTTCCGATTGAATTGTTGTGAGAGAAAAACACTGTTCCGGCTGAAAAAAGAAGCCGAACAAGCCATTTTTAAGACAAGCGAACGGGGCCATTAAAGAACAAGGAGCAAAACAATTTCCTTCTAAAAAATCCCAATCCTCAATCGGCTTGTTCGCTGGTTGGTTTCTGGGCTGGTTTGAACTGTCTGGTACTGGTTTATTGTGAGAAGAAAACACTGTTGGCTGGCTGGTTTGGGTTGGCTAAAACCAACAAGCGAACATGATGAATGCCTAGAAAAGCAGTCTTTTTTTTTTAAATTACATAGTAGTAAAACTGAATTTTGCCTAACAACCACAAAAGCTTTGTCTGGAAACTCCAACCAACTTGCATATACATAAAACTCTGGTTTCCACAAAACCAGGATTTTGGGTTTTAACAAAAACAAGAATTAATCATTTTTTTAAAAATCTGGATATCCACGTTCTCAACCGACCAATATCTCTGTGTTCGCAGCTTATGTGCTAGTGCATGGAGATCATTAGTTTCCCATGCTCCCACCTGTGGGGATGTGGGTTCCTCCCGTCTTCAAGCCATCCCAGACCTTCCTCTTCGAAAGCCTGGATTCGTCGCCGACCGGCTCGGCGTGCTTCGCCTTCGCGAGGAGGCACTTGTCCCGATGCCCGTCGGAGGAGGAGCGCCCTCCGTCGGCTCCGGGCCACCCGGCGACCTCAACGACGAGATGCCCGCGCTTCGCTCCAAGCCCACGCTGGGCTCAAACCCCACTGTGAGTAACGTACATATTATCCTTTACTCGCTATTTAGTATCTTCCGCCGACTCTCCGGAGGGACCCCGTTGTCTCCACCGCGACCGCCATGCAACCGGTTACCCTACGGCCTCGCGTTCCCCTGCGGACGTGGACGCGCGGGGGCTTCGAAAGATGCTGACGCCGCCCCCTCTCGCATCCAAATTCGTGGGGATGGCGGGCTACACTCCCGCCTCTTTCCACGACCTCATGGATGATGAGGTTGAAAGCGACGGCTCCAGCATCGGCGACATCGTGGCACCTAGCCACCCTCTGTCCCGGGAGTGCGCTATGGCGGACGCTCCGGGACAGCCGCCGGTGATAGCGGAGTCCCTACAGACTCACACCCATTTGGACCATCGTGCGGAGGCCCTCGCGCGTGCGCAGGAGCATGGCCAGGAGCTACGACAGAGGCGGCGGAGCCACCCGCCACCTGCGCCGGCGCGCTCGGGGCAGCACGTTGCGCCACGCGCACGTAACCTGGCGAGCGGCGCCCGGAGTCGCGCCCGCCAGGTCCAGCGCAACATCATGGTTGGGGGAAACGAAAACGATCCCCCATAGTTCGCTCGGGCTGGCCAGAACATCGTCGCTGCGGCGATGCTTCTGCGCGGCCTTCCCGAGCCCGTCGACCCCTAGGAGCAGGTGGTCCACCGGAACCTCCGGGCGCTGGTGGAAACCACCACCGTTCAACAGGCGGAAAGCTCCGGGTCGCGCCACCGACTCGCGGCCTCTCTCCCCACCGAGGGAATGGGGCGTACTAGTCGAGTCGCTGCATCTAATCACCACTACAGTCACTGGGCGCGGAACAGGAGGACGCAACTGCAGCACGGCCTGACCCGACGCCCGCTCCACACTGACCGCCTGTGCACGAACGGCTCAGGCCGAACCAAGACGCTCGCAGCGTCATCAACAATCGGCGTCAGGCCCAGCGTGATCATGACGTCCATCGAGGGGCGGTGAGAACAGGCGGCATGGGCCCCGGCCGGACCATTGAGGGGAGCGGGGAGACGCACCCCAGGCATGGTCATCGACTAGACGACCGGAGTCCCAGCCCGGATGGCCTAGGACCTCGGGCCTTTGGCCATCGCATCCACAGAGCGTCGTTCCCACAATGCTTCCGACCGCCTACCAACGTCGCCAAATATACCGAGGAGACGAATCCCGGTATATGGCTCGAAGACTTCTGGCTCGCCTGCCGAGCCGGAGGAGTGGATGATGACCACTTCATCATTCAATACCTCCCCATCTACGTGGGAGAACATGTTCAAGCCTGGCTTGAATTCCTCCCGTATGACAGTATCCGTGACTGGGCGGATCTCAAGAGGATCTTCATCGGGAATTTCTATGGGACGTATGTCCGTCCTGGGAATTCCTGGGACCTCAAGAGCTGCCGGCAGGAGCCCAACGAGTCCCTACAGGATTACATCTGTAGGTTCTCAAAACGATGCAACTCCCTTCCTGATGTCATTGACGTAGACGTCATCAGCGCATTCCTCTTTGAGACAACCTGTGAGTCCTTGATCCACAAGCTCGGCTGTCTGAAGCCCCGTACCACCCGCGACCTGCTCGACATCGCCACGAACCACGCCTCCGGCGAGGAGGCGGTAGGAGCGGTCTTTAGTGGAGGCCAGGACAAGGGCAAGGCTAAGCGCGAGGACCAAGATGAGGGCCCCTCCACGCAAAGGGGCAAAAAGAACAAGAAGGATCAACACCGACCGGCCAACTCCACGTTGGTCGCCGTGGCCGATCGCGCGGGCAAGCAGCCCCAGCAGGGCTAGCCCGACCACTTCGACAAGCTCATGGAGAGCCCGTGCACCAACCACGCCTACCCCGTCAAGCACCTCTACAAGGATTGTGAACTCCTCAAGCGCTTTCTGCGATAGGCCGACGGACCGAAAGAGGGAAAGGGCAAGGAGGCAGCAGACAAGAAAGAAGGCGCGGCGGGCAAGGATGGGGACGACTTTCCTGATCCCAAGGAATGCCTCATGATCTTCGGGGGATCTGATGCCATCTACTCCAAGCGTCAGCACAAAGTGCGCTACAGAGAGGCATGCGTCGCCGAAACGGCCGTCCCCTTCTTCCTTAGCTAGTCAGAATCTCCGATCACTTTTGATCAGAGGGGCCATCTTTCCCACATCACCAGACCAGGTCGCTACCCGCTCATTGTCGACCCCATTGTCCGCAAGAAGTGCCTCACCAAGGTGCTGATGGACGGAGGTAGCGGCCTCAATATCCTCTACGTCGACACCCTCTGTAACACCTCTAGTGTTTGGACCTAGAACTAAAACTTGGCATGTCATCATATGCATTGCAAAGCATTCATAAAGAAGAAAATTTGGAATGCATTCACTAAATAAGAATTGTTTCATAAGTTGTTATTTTATGTGATGCAATGTGATTCAAAACGTTAAATAAAGATCATGACCACACGGGTCAGATTTCATGTGATCATGTGAGACCATGTGTCATTTGACTCAAACAACCCTAATGGGCCATGTTACTGGTCAAAAATCAAAGTTAAAGCAAAAGAAAGACAAATCAAATTTGAATTCAAATTTAAATTATAAAAGTCCGTTCTGCCCCTTTTGGATATTTCAAAATCCATTTGGAATTTGGGGTTGTGACAAAAAGCAAAGTTGAAGCTTATCTTATGAGGATCAACTTTGGTATACAAAGTTTTTAGAGTTTACATATAAAGTTTGGAGTAATTTTGAAATGATTCAAATCTTTAAATGTACCCCAAATTTGAATTTTGAAATGGAGGCAGAATTTGAAAATGTTTCTTAAACCAAAGTTGTAGTACTTGAAAAGTTGAGCAACTTTTATTTTGGGAGATTTTCAACTTCTATAGAAAGTTTGAGAGTAATTTGCTAAATGAACTCAGTGGCAAAACTGTAAATAAATTGAAATTCCACCGGAGCAGCTTTACACCTCATGCTTGCCGCCGCCGATCAGTCCTCGCCACTTTCCCGCGCGCAGGCACGTCACCGTCGCCGTGGCGCCTCCGTCGTGCGCTGTCGCAGCCGGGCGAGCTCATCCCGGCTATAAATAGCCTCATTGCCACCGTCGTTCCTCCCATTTCCCCTTCTGCTCTGCTCCGCCGCCAGCTTGCTCCGCCGCTCGCCGTAGCCTCCGTCGAGCAACATCCGTCGTGCCCAGCTACGCCTACGTGATCGCCTCGGCCTTGCGCCTCTCTGCGGCTTGCCTACGCCACTTGGGTTGGCCGGAGTCGCCCGGCGCAACTGCTTCTTCCCCGAGCCCGGCCGGAGCTCCGCCACCGTCAAGCTCGCCGTGGCCAGGACGTTCCAGAGTGTCTCCGACTCCAC